CCGTTGGATGCATGCGTTATGATTGGAGGTAAGGACATGCCACCTTTCCCCTTCCTATCTCTAGACACACAGAAAATGAATTCAGAAAATTCTGTTCAGCTAACATCTCATAGGCTGTGATAAAACTGTTCCTGCTCAGTTGATGGGCGGCATCTCTGCCAATAAACCCATCCTTCCGCTTATCACGGGTCCGATGTTGCCGGGGAGTCATCGCGGGCAACGCATTGGGGCTTGTACGGATTGCCGGAATAACTGGGCAGCATTTCGAGCGAAGGAAATTGATATTGAAGAAATATCGGCTATCAATGAGGAACTGGCCCCGACGGTTCGTATTATACTTTATGATGCTATAGAGGGCCTTATTCCTTGCTAATAATGACTCTAACAGGTCGGAACATGTGGGGTTATGGGGACTGCCAGTACAATGGCATGCATCACAGCGGCTCTGGGTATGATGCCGTTGCGTGGTGCGTCCGCGCCAGCAGTCTCCTCGGCCAGAATCCGAGTGGCCGAGGAAACAGGGGCAAATGCAGTGGCGGTGGCACGCGCTGGAAGACAACCTCAAGATATACTCTCGAAGGAGTCCTTTTTGAACGCTATCACGGTGTTACAAGCTATCGGAGGTTCGACTAATGCCGTTGTACACCTAATGGCTATTGTGAACAGACACCCCAAATTACAAGGGGTAATCACTCTGCAGACTATAGAGGAAGTCGGCCAGCGGACACCACTCCTCATTGATCTAAAGCCAAGCGGTGACAACTACATGAACGATTTCCACAATGCAGGTGGAATGTTGGCGTTGCTTCATACTCTCCGCCCACTTCTCCATCTCTCAGCCATGACCATAAGCGGTCAAACGTTGGGCGAAGTCTTGGATTCTTCACCATTCAGGACATTTCCCCTTTCGCAGCAGATCATCAGACCGCTATCTGATCCTCTCCACCCTTCATCCTCGCTAGTCATTCTTCGGGGAAATATTGCGCCCGATGGAGCCGTCCTGAAAGCATCTGCATCCAAGGATCGACGCTTGCTCTCTCATTCTGGACCGGCCGTTGTCTTCGAGAACTCCGTAGACCTCGCCAAGCGCATCGATGATCCCAACCTCGAGGTCACTCCAGATTCAGTCTTGGTTCTGAAGGGCATCGGGCCCATAGGCAACCCCGGAATGCCCGAAGCAGGCCTGATACCTATCCCTCGTAAGCTTGGCTCCGCAGGCGTCAAGGACATGCTGCGTCTGTCCGATGGACGCATGTCAGGAACAGCAGGAGGTACTATTGTTCTTCATATATCACCCGAGTCAGCGCTGCGGGAGTCGCCATTCGGAGTGGTCCAAACAGGAGATTTTATTACTTGCGACATTACGACGAGAAAGCTTCAGCTTGAGATTTCAGATGAAGAGCTGAAACGGCGAATTGACGCCCGGAAACAGGCGCTCAAAGCTAGCGGGGCGGAAAAATCGCATGCCAAACAGAAAAGAGGTTATCGGGGACTGTATGAACGATCGGTGAACCAGGCACAGGATGGCGCTGATTTTGACTTTCTCGCAGCGAGTGGGCCATCATTAAATGATGGAAAGTAAACCATGGATATTGAGTTGTTGTAGGAATGAGACAGGTAGATAATCGGCAGCCCTGACCCAGTGCCCTAAGCCCTTCATTCCCGCCCGAATAGGCAAAAGTAGATGCAACGCGCGGAACGCGTTCCCCAAATCGGGCGGCGCGTTGCAGGAGAGCCGGAGAGAGTCTCACCTCCGCATCGCAACCACGAGCGTCACATACAATGTCAGATCGGGGCTAGATCGATGCGTTGAAACTATTTACTTTATTTTCTCATAAAACCAGAGGCATCGTATTTCTCGTCACCCCACCATGGCTACTGAAGCTATGCGTCCCCGGGGCCGACCAGCCCGTGAGTATACGATCGCCCTATGCCTTCCTCGACTTTCTAACTAACATTGTGTGATTACCCCAGATACCCCAGGGACTACGGTACTAGCATATACACCGGACGGACGTCGCGTTATCACGGGCGGTTCCAACTCTGCGATTCGGGTCTACTCTGTTGGACAGGATGGAGAGCCGAAGACCATTGATGAGGGTGTTGATGGGCATCTTGGCATTGGAGCCACTGTATGCTCTACTGCAATGCTATGCGTTATGTATACCTGGGTGATATGCTAATACATGCCGACAGAATGAATCATTCATCATGGGCGCCGAAGACGGTACCGTCTGGCAATACGAAATCGAGTCTGGCCGGATGGAGAAGCTACTTGTTCGATGCGCGCTACCGGTGCGCGATATCGCCGTTTCGAAGGATGGGGAGTGGGCGGCTGTTGCGAGCGAGTTAGTAACCTACCTTTATATTGAGCACTTAAGGTATCAGGGATGTGGCTAACAAACTGTGTGCTACTGCTAGTGAGCTTACGGTCAAGATCGTGAACATCGAGGACATGACAAAGGTTAAATATCTACGGGAACAAGCCAAGGGAACAAAGCACGTCACCTTCGACCCCAGCGGGCGGTACGTTACAGTGTCATGTACGGACGGGATGCTCTACATCTATTCGATGCTTTCCGACGAGCCTGAACTGGTCCGTAAGGTGGATGGAGTAATCCGAAGGCTGGAACCGGAGGATGAAGCGACCGCGCGGATCGTGTGGCACCCGGATGGAACGGCCTTTGCGTCTGCGGAAGCGACCCGGGATATTGCTATCTTCTCAGTGGGCGAGTGGAAGAAAGAAAAGGTGTTCTCTGGTGGGCATAACGGAGAGGTCACGGCCATTAGCTGGTCGCCTAATGGGGCACTACTGGCGACTGCTGGTAAGGATGGTCAGGTTCTGCTCTGGGAGACGAAGACGCAAAAGGTTCTGGAACGGTACGATTTTGCGAATGTGATCAATCTCGCCTGGCACCCCAGCAATAATTCGCTGTCGTTCACGACATCCGACGGAGAGTTGTTCATCTATGACGGTATTGTTCCGAGAGAGCACCAACCACTCCTCCAGAAGCCGCTTCAGGCTGCACCGATCTTTTCTGGACCTTTGACGGAGATCTCGAACAACGTGAGACCACCGCTGGCGAACCGGCCCAAGCAGTCAGTTGAACGGCGGGCGCGCACACCCGATTCACTGGATGATGTCCTCGACTATGATGTCGGCATGGAAGATTTTGTGGAGGATGATGATGGAGCTGGGTATGCTGAGGATCTCGCACGGGGCAAGCGTGCGGGCTCTCATCTCGATGATGCAGATGGCCGTCCGGACAAGCGGCTATTGACCTCATTTGCAAAACCTAAGGTGCATCCTCCTCTTCAGCCGGGAAGTACACCTTGGAGGGGTAACCGACGCTATCTGTGTATGTGTGCTCGAGTAGCTTGAGTGGTGCTGGTTCCAGGTGTGCTGACTCTACTAGGTTTGAACCTAACCGGCTGTGTCTGGACAGTCGATCAAGAAACCCACAACACAGTGACAGTGGAGTTTTATGACCGTGAACTTCATCGCGATTTCCATTTCACTGATCCCTATCTATACGACCGCGCGTGTCTCAGTATGTTCAATGGATCTCCTAGATCGGATCAACGGTGTAGCTAACGATATCTAGATGAGCACGGAACGCTATTCTCCAACAACCCCACAGACGGCAGCCCAGCTACGATCTTCTATCGCCCGCATGAGACGTGGACGACGCGTGCGGACTGGCGGACACAGTTGCCGAAGGGCGAGTTCATTCGAGGTAAGCACCAGCCGACTAAATACCCAAGGAGATTGGTGGTGCTGATAAAATGGCAGCGCTGGCGCTCAGTGATTCCTACATTGTCGCTGTCACGACCAAGGACTATGTCCGTGTATATACGCTATTCGGCACACCGTTCAAAGTGTACCGACAAAAGAGCCCGGCGGTTACTTGCGCCGCCTGGAGAGACTATATCATGACGGTGGGCAATGGCCCGCTAGGAAGCGATGGTCGTACTGCCACGCTGCGGTACACTGTGGAGAATGTCAAGCGGGACGAAGTGTGCCAGAATGAGGATGTGGTCGCCATCCCTGAGGGTGCCGAGCTGCGGAGTGTCTTCTTTTCTGATGCAGGAGTGAGTAAACCCTAAGCAGGTTCACCAGGTTCGATGTGCTAATGACTTCCTCTGTAGGACCCGTGTATCTACGACTCTGAAGGCGTTCTGCTCATCCTGCAACACTGGCGCACAAACGGGCAAGCTCGCTGGGTACCGCTGCTGGATACGAGACAGCTCGAGCGTCTTGCGAGCGGCCGCAAGGAGGAGACTTACTGGCCCGTTGCCGTGGCTCAAGACAAGTTCCACTGCATCATTCTCAAGGGAGGGGATAAATACCCGTACTTCCCCAGGCCTTTGCTGAGTGAATTCGACTTCCGCGTCCCCATCACGGATACGCCTGGGAAGGGGCCGGATGAAGATGAGGAAGAAGGCAGCACACGCGGAGAGGGGCCACGACTCGAGGAGGCGTTTGTTCGTAGCAACATTATGCTCTCGCTGTTCGAGGACCTCCTGGGATCTACCAACGCCACTACCGGCCAGCGAGCAGAGTTGGCGCGGAAGGAGCTGGAGGTGGACAAGTTCTTGCTGCAGCTACTGGCGGTGGAATGTCGCGAGGGTGAAGAGCGAGGCATGAAGGCTCTGGAACTGGTGCAGATGATGCGCGACCGCAATGGCAAGATGGTGGAGGCAGCTGTTAAGGTTGCGCAGCGTTATGGACGAGGCGTGCTGGAGGACAAGATCCGCGAGCTGGCAGAGCGACGGTACATGGGGGCAGATGATGATGATGAACTGGCATGAGAAAGCAACTTGATCATATGCTACGGATGTAAATAGATACCAAATGCACGGAGTTTTGCATTCTTGCTTTTCGTTTTCTTCATTCGATCTATATTCCTGTGTTGCCTCAGGCTGCGACGGGGCGGGCCGACGTCATCTTCCGCTTACTTTCGATTGAACTTCATTGCATTTCGATGCCACTTCCATTACTTTTCGACTTCCTTCCATCCTCACTCCATCTTCCCTCTGCACTTGCTGTCTCATGCATCTGTCAGCTTATGACTTGACCCAACCCCTCCGCTGCCATCCCGCAAGGCATGCATTGATCTGTTTCCAACACAAACTCCCTGGGTGAACCTCCGGGAATGCCGCCGAAGCTGGTCTCTGGCCCTGCGCCACGCGCTCTCCGACGTCGTCTACTACCCCCTACGACACCCTCTCCGGTTAAACCGCCTGTCTCCCGAGAGCAATACTTTGCCTCTCCTTCCCCGCGGACTCTGGCCCAGCCACGACCCGATATCATACATGGCCCGCAGTTGACCCGCGAGTCTCCGACACTTTTCTCGCAAACTGGTTTCCGACCATCTGTATCGGACCCTCTTGATGGGGGCTCGAAACGAGATCATGAACCTCCCGACGAGCGCATTCTGAAGCTTGGAAAGAGTTAGTGCTCCCCAACAGGATTTCCTACAGAATGGACCCGGTGCTGACCGAGCCAATCTCCCACAGCTCTACGCATCCTCTCGCCTCTCCTCCCCACCCTTCTCATCAACCCGCTACCCCCGAACATCCTCTCCCCCAGTATAGCCCTGCATCTCTTCCCCTCCACGCACCCACATCTCCCCACCGTCAAGGGCCGCACACTCTACCGCGCCGCGCTCTGGACCGTCCCAGTAGCATGGAGCAGCCTCCCCCTACTAGGAAATGTCAAGCTTCAAATCCTCAGTGAGCGTATCGTCCGCGCAGGAACGGTCCTCGAACCCGAACGACCGGACAACGACCACGATACCAGCGACGAGCGTCTCGTCGTGCGCTGGCGAACCGAGCCGCGGAGCGAATCCACTACCTCCGACTCGGAACCTTCCAGCACATCGTTCACCGCCGCATCTCCTACGCTATCAAGCGATACCCAAGGCACCAACAAGAGTAATGGCAGTCACCTCTCATCTTCGAAAGCCGGGATCAACAAAGGCCTTAGCGTCCTGCTGGGCGGGGACGCTCCGATCTTCAAGTTGAAGAAGGAAGAGCAGTTCACGGGCCTATTCATCTTCTCCTTCGACGAGGAAGGTCGAATTGCGTCGCATACGATCGAGCACGCGGATGATGCGCGCGGATGGAATCGCACGCCCAAGTTCGTGACTCTGACTGATTGGTTGATCGGCAAGGCGAGAGGATCGCTTGACCCTGCTGCAGAGCCGGGGCTAGCTATGCAGGGCTGTCATTGGCAGGATGCGCAGGAGTACCTCGATAGGGATCGTTTCCATCATGAACAACATTATTATCCTCGTGGTCGGTGATCGTAGGCCCTCAGGCCTCGTTTTACCCTTCCGCACTATTTGAGACTCCCTTCTATTCCTATCACCGAGGGGGGGGGGGGGGGGGGGAAATTATAGAGACAGTTGCGAGGCTGTATGAAGAGAAAAGGATTGCACGATCTCAAAACTGTATTCAAATACTCTGATTTTGTTTGTTTACGGTGGCGGGCTATCTGATTTGCTTGTTTCATCAGTTGGTGGCGATTTCTTCCGCGTTCTAGATGTTCATATTTATTCTCCTCTCTTCTTCACTCCTTGTCTTGTTATCTATATGATTTCTTTCGCTTACCACCACTCTCCGATGTGTATTATACCCAGTACTACTATTGATGATGTTTTGTTTCATGTAATGTAATGTGAATATATATATTTGCTAGTACTCACTGATACAGCCAGTCAGCCAGTAGATAATAAACCTTATCTGATCTATTGCACATCATGTTCATAAGACCGCAAAGATGAATAACGTACATTCAACAGAAGACTTTAATCTATAAATCTATCTTTTATCGTCACATAATCTTTCAAACAATCCAACAAAAATTGACTGACAACTAACTACGCCTTGGCAGGAATGTTCGGCGACTTCAAGCACGTGAACACAGCCACGCAAACAGTAACCATCGCAATTCCACCCGTGGTGTAGGCGATTTCGCGCCCAACCCACCAGAACAACGAGCAGAAGAGCAACGGTCCCGCCGCGCGTCCGGCCTGGCCCCAGCTACGAAGTCTACCCAAAACCGCACCGCGGTCTGACTCCTGTGCCTCGAAGCTACCCAGGCTGTTGAGGCCTGTGACAACCGTGGCGCTGGTGATAGCGAGGAGGCTGCCGGCGGCGTAAAGGCCGGAGAGGGAGGAGACGCGCGCGAGCATGAAGAAGGATACGGTGCAGGCAAGGACGCCGGCGCGGACTGTCACGAGTGGGGGCAGACGGCGCACGACGGTGCCTTGGAGGAGGGAGGCGATGAGACCCATCATGGAGAGGAGGCGGCCGTTTAGAGCGGAGGGGCTGGCTTGGCTGCCCGCGTAGAAGGTGGCGGTTAGGAAGGGGAGGGAGAACTCAAGGCCGGAGAAGGGGAGGAGGAAGAGGAAGTGGATTGCGTTGAGGATGGCGGGGTTGTTGGTGTGTTGTTTGCGTTTGGGAGTGGGGGTGGATGTGGACGTGGGGGGCTTCGAGGCAGACGTGGTGGTTGAAGAGGTATGAGTGAGCTTGGTGAAACGAGGGTGGGTTTCTGGCAGACAGAAGTAGATATATGCGGTTTCGACGACAATGAGTAGAAGGGAGACGCCGGCTGCGGTCGCGAAGGGGTTTGCCGCCACAGTGGTGATGTTCGAAAGAAACGCTCCTAGGGCGGGTCCGCAGGTGAAGGCGATGCTGAAGCAGGCGCCCACCAGGGCCATGGTCGAGCCGCGCTGGCTGGGGTCGCTGATATCGGTTGCAATGGCGTTGGCCAGCTGCACATTCCCTTCACTAAGACCACCGACGATGCGACTGGCCAGGAAGGTACGGAAATCGGTAGCAGCGACCCAGAGAGCGACGCTGAGGGTGTTGCCAACCATGGAGTAGAGGAGGGCGGTCTTGCGGCCGCGCTGGTCGGAGAGACGGCCGATAAAGGGAGCGGCTAGGGCCTGGAGGAAGGAAAAGAGAGATCCGAGAGCGCCACCGAGGAGAACGATATCATAGCGCGAGTCGATGGGCTTTGCGAAGGAGTTCTTGTAGGCATTGAGATAGTGGAAGACGCGGTTCAACAGTGAGTTCGGGGAGGGGTCTTGGTTGCGGTAGAAGGTGAGGAGGGATGGGAAGAGAGGTAGAATGAACGTAAAGGATATCTAGATGAATCATTAGAGAGAAAGATCCTAAGAAAGAGGTAACAGCAGCAAAACATACCAAATCCAAGAGCAACGAGGTCATCAAGACCTTGAGGATCTTCTTCCGCTGGTCTGCGGCGACCGCCATAGTGGTGAGACGGCGAGGTGCGGGGGACACTGGAAGGTCAAGACGAGAGAGAGAAAAAAAATGACCGGACGAAGAGAGCGAATGAAAGGAGTTTAATTAAACATGAGGAACAGAAATGGAAGGAAGGATAGCAGCAGTCAGCAGCATAAGAAAGGCAGGTCGAAGAAGAACAACAACACGATGGCATCTTCTCCTCCGCCGAGGCACCTGCCAATTATGTCATAGCCCTGAGCCCTATCAGATGCGGGACTCGGCCTTGGCTGCCTTTTCGGGTCAATTCAAGTTGATCTACTCATTTCGCTTATATTCATGATTGCATCTACAATGATCTTATACTGGATCGTCCAATCTGGCGAGGAAAAATAATGGTGCCGCTGGCTTCCATTGCCGCCGAGCTGCACTTTGACCTTATATTCCTAGCAACTTCGTCCCGGCCGTCAACGGCCAGACATTCTCCCCTGCTCCTGTCGCTGCGAACCGCCCTGGCCTGCAACCCTCCATGTCAACATAAGATGCAAATGAATAAAATACAGGAAAAGAATAGTAGATGGCCAATATGACGAGCTTTGCCGCCACCATCCGAATGCAATGGCCCCGTGGAAGCGGTCATCACAGCTCGAAAGACAAGGTAAAAGAAAAGATATCAAAGAGCAACATTATGCACGCTCAATAACTGCAAACATATACAACCGGAACCTTGGGGAAGAGAATCCAAAAGAAACGTCGAGCAATGCTACCGGATGACTGTTTCATCGGCAGCGTGTCGCCCTCATAGCTCCGTGTTGTAATCATTTCAAGAGTCATTGCTTTCGTCAACCATGACACCGCCATTACCCATGAGTTTATTAGTATGAGAGAGGATAGACAAAGGAAAGCACAACGCCCCGACGGCTGCAAGAATAAAAGCGGGGAAGATGTAAAGATGTAGCATGGACAAGGCCCAGTGCCATTCAGAAGGCAAGGAGCCAGCATCAGGACCGCGTCGACCTTGAGATGTACTTCTCACAGAGGAGCACAACCACCAAGCCAGGCGACAGAGCGATCCTGTTCCCAGCTGCACTGGCTTACTGGTTTCCAGCAGGAGCGGCACTGGGAGCGCCATTGCCATTGGCGTTGGCTCCGCCACGGCCCCGACCACCACGGCCGCGACCACGACCGTGGCCACGGAACTCGCCGCGTCCGCGTCCCCGGAAGCCATCACCACGTCCACGGCCATGTCCGCCACGACCACGTCCGCGAACACTAGGCTGTCTCTGGTGGTGGTGTACCTGCTCGAAGCCATCCTTCGGCACAGTAACATTCTCGGTGCCCTGCTCGGCAGCCGGGCTGGTCTTTACCTCCGCTTGCGCCGCTGCAGGTGTGGCCTCTAGGCCAGTATCGGTCTCGGCGGGGTCCCGGGGGACTTCAACCCAGCCCTCGGTGTTGGCCGAGGAGACACCAGAAGCATTGGCATCCCAGTTGGCCTCCGCGACTGCGTTACCACCCTCGCCAACGAGAGTCTGAGCAGGTGGCTGGACCTGTTCCGCCTCAGACTCAGCGGCAGCAGTGGACTCGTTAGCCACAGTAGCAGTAGCGTCGGTGTTGTAAGAAGGATCCTGGAGTTCGGTGTAACCGGCGTTGGCAATAGTAGGGTCCGACTGAGGAGCGGCCTCAGTGGTGGCGGTGGTGGTCTCGTCAGTTGGTCCAGCAAGCTCAGCAGCGGCCTGCTTTACTCTTCCGTCTAAGCAACAGATTATCGTTAGCAACAGGCAAAACAAAATACATGGGATGACGGCAGCGCTCACAGGTGACATCGAGGAGAGTGCTGTCAACGCCAACCACCTTCTCGTCCACGCCGTCGATGATTTTAAGCATGGAAGAGACAGCATCCTGAGTACCGCCGTAGATCTGGTAAAGGACACCCTCAAAGGCACGGCTCTCATTCGAGGTCTCGTCACCAGAATTTCTAACCCGCGCAGCCGCACAGAGGAACTTGCTCAAGTTTAGCAGCTTCTGTCTGAGCTCCGTCTCTCTAACACCGCTAGCAGCATCAGTGGCCTGCTTCTGAACAGCTTCAAGCTGCTCCTTGTGGGCCTGCTCCAGCTCAGCCTTCTGGCTGACCAAGCGTTCCTCGTAATAGGCAGCGAAGCTCTTGAACTGGGCAATCTGTTCCTCGATCTGAGCAACAGCGGCCTGGAGGGAAGGCTTCTTCAGGGCCTGAGCCTTCTGATCGACGTTGATCTTCTTCTCCGCGACGAGCTCGTCCAATGACTTCCCAGGGTTTTCGGCGATGATGGCGTCAACCTTAGCGGTCGCATTCTGGATGGGGCAAATGTGAGCGGTGTACAGGAACCCAAAATTGAGTCGGGTGAACGAACCAGCTTCTTCATAGCATTGCGCAGGCTCCTATAGCACTGTAATTAGCATCCTATCTAACTTGGTCTCTTTTCCCCGGTCAAATGGTGGGAAGCGCCGAGGCTGATTTCTCGGATGACTCACTTCTGAAGTTCTTTGAAGTGTTGATGCTCATGGTTATCGGAACCGTTGACCTCTGCCTTGGAAGCGATCGAAGGGCTAGAAGCATGGTTCGGCTTGTGCTTCTCTGAGGTCTCGGACTGTGGAGGAGGGTTGGTATTGACAGCTGCGGCGGCCATTGTAGCTGAGTTGTGAGATGCTAGACACTGGGAGGGAGTCTAGTTGTTTGGTAGAGAAGGGGGGGTAGTAGGACAAAGAAAAAGCGTAATGTAGAAATAAAGAGGAGAGGAGGAAAGGGAGAAGGGTATTTGCGCAGGTTGAGGAAAAGTAACTGGAGAAGAGTAGGAAGAGGGAAGAGAGAGAGAAGAGGAAAGGAAGCCAAGGCGGCAGAAGTGACAGAGCGAGAGACACAGCGAAAGACGACGAAGATGCGGGTGGAAGGCTTCCGAACCGCAGCGCCGCCTTTGCTTTGTCGCGTGCTGTTCGCCGCCAGCCCAACAACGTTTGCCCCCAAAACGACGCTCGGACGATCGCGCAGCTTATTGTGAACTCAATGGCCTACAAAAGAAATTGTGGTTGGAGGAGCGTCTCAGACGCATTACAGGTTTGATTTTCAACAGGGGGAATCCCTGCTGCTTTA